GGCCTCCCAAAGTGCTGGGATTACAGGCTGAGCCACCAAGCCCAGTCTTTTTTTTTTTTTAAAGTCCAAGTTTCACTCTGTTGCCCAGGTTGGAGTGCAGTGACATACTCACAGCCACCGCAGCCTCGACCTACTGGTCTCAGGTGATCCTTCCATCTCAGCCTTCCAAGTAGCCGGAACTACAGGTGTGCACTACCATGCCCAGCTAATTTTTCTTAGTTTATTGTAGAGATGAGGTCTCACCAAGTTGCTCAGACTGGTCTTGAACCCCTGAGATGAGGCAATACTCTCACCTCAGCTTCCTAAAGTGCTGGGATTACAGGCGTGAGCCACCATGCCCAGCTAGAAGTGTATTTTATAGTATAATTCGCTTTTTTTTTTTTTTTTTTAGTCAGAATCTCACTCTGTCGCCTAGTCTGGAGTGCAGTGTCATGGTTATGGCTGCTGCAGCCTCGACCTGCTGGGCTCAGGAAATTCTTCTGCCTCAGCCTTCCAAGTAGCTGGAACTACAGGCACACGCCACCACACCTGGCTAATTTTTTTTTATTTATTGTAGAGATGAGGTCTTGCCAAGTTGCCCAGGCTGGTCTCGAACCAGCAGGCTCAGGCAATCCTCTCGCCTCGGCCTCCCAAAGTGCTGGGATTCCAGGCATGAGCCACTGCGCCAGGCTAGAAGTGTATACTGTAGTATAATTCGCTTCCTAATAGGTAAGTCATTCAGTAATAGCTTCTCTGGTAAGTGGCAGATTATTAAATACCAATCTATTAAGTGAATTTGGGTTGACGACTGATGCTATTATATACACCTTTTGAGTTCGTTCATTAGCTAAGTATCAAGTGTCTCCCAAGTGGGAGGCACTGCTCTAGGTGGGGCTGCAGCAGTGAGCAAAATACAAAACGCTGCCTGTTCCCTTGGGATTGCCCTTTTCCCAGGGATGATACTTTTGGTCCCAGTTAAGCTGATTGGCAGGTGCCCATTTTCCAGAATTGTCCCTAGTTCTTTTCAGTTACAGATAGTGGTTTGGGGTCTACTTCAGCGTCACCTAGGCCTAGATTTTAAAAGTCATAAGTTTCTGGCCAGGCTTGGTGGCTCAGCCTGCCATCCCAGCCCTTTGGAAGGCCAAGGCGAGAGGATTGCCTGAGCCCGCTGATTTGAGAGCAATGTGGGCAACTCTGCGAGACCCCGTCTCTAAAATAAATTTTAAAAATTAACCTGGTGTGGTGGCCTGTGCCTGAAGTTCCAGCTGCCTGGAAGGCTGAGGCAGAAGGATCTCCTGAGCCCAGCAGGTCGACGCTATAGCAGCCATGAACGTGCCACTGCACTCCAGACTGGGTGACGGGGTGAGACCCCAACTAAAAAAAAAGTCATAAGTTTCCACAGTCATGTAAACTCAATTATATAAGAAATACCTGCAGTCAAATCCTGAAAACGAATCTTGATTCTTGGATAATAGCTACAGTCAGTCACTGGCCAGGTCAGAAGTCTGTTTCAAAGCAGGTGCTTCTTAAAGTATTTATTCAAATAAGCTATACTCTGAAAAGGTTATTAATGGTCTAGAAATAAAAATGCCCTCATGATACATTATTAGGCTTCAGACTTCATAGCTTTGTAAACTTACATGAAAAGAACATTTCTAGTTTGCCTAATTCTCAGTTGCCTAATATATGTAATTCTTCAACAGATTTTCGTTTTATTTTCTTTAAAAACCCATGTGAATGCATTTAGATTCTATTTAAATTTGTCGGGTTGTTTTTTTTTCTTTCTTTCTTGGAGCACTATTTCATTATGGCTGTTTGTTGGTAGTGTGTATGGATATGAATTATATGTTAAGGCCTCTCTATCAGATGTTTTACATAATAACCCCACTTTTGGAGGAGAGGTCAAAGTTGGGAGAAGGATTAACTCAATCACTGCTTATGTTACTCCTAAACTTTTTAGGGTGGAATGGAATGGATTCTTTCAATCCGACAGAAACATTTAGTGCCCTGTTGTAGTCATTTACAAATGGTACTACTTTAGCCTGACAGGATTAATACAGTTTCCAGAAGTACCTCTCTACCCAGAAAAATTTCTTACATATGCTATTTTAAACTAAAGGACCTTTTAAGATCTCAAAGTTTCTATTATATCTGTGGCCAGCATATCTTCATGGGACTGCTAAATGTAGAAAAGAAATATTGGTTTTAGGGTATGTTTTGTTTTACAAAAGATTTTTTATCATCTAGATGCATCAGGCTAAGTTAAGTTTTATAATATTGATAGATAGCTAAGAAGTCAAAACAGATCTAACAGCAAAAATTGGCAAGGGAGAAAATTAGTTTTTCAAAACTACAAGCCGGGTGCATTATCTCATGTCTATAATCCTAGCACTTTGGGAGGCCGAAGTGAGAGGATTGCCTGAGCCCACGAGTTTGAGACCAACCTGGGCAACCTTGTCTCTACAATAAATAAAAAAATTAGCTAGGCATGGTGGCGCATGCCTGTAGTTCCAGTTACTTGGAAGGCTGAGGCAGAAGGATCACCTGAGCCCAGCAAGTCGAGGCAGCTGTGGTCGTGAACATGCCACTGCACTCTAGCCTAGGTGACAGAATGAGACTCCGACTCAAAAATAAATAAATAAAAATAAAAGCTATAAATCCAAAACATCTTAAATGCAGGTATTCCCTAGAGTTCTGACTTTTTTCTTCTTCTGTTCTCTAATTAAATCGGCATCTATTGTGTTTTTTCTATTCACAAAATTAATGAGGCTTGGACTACTGCATTTCTAGTTGAGCTAATCAGCATGGTGAGAGTTATTTATTTCTATATCTTTTAAAATATAGCCTGATATCTTTTTTTTTTTTGAGTTGGGATCTTAGTCTGTCAGGCCGGAGTGCAGTGGCATGATCACTGCTCACCACAGCGTCAACCTCCTGGGTTCAGGTAATCCTTCTGCCTTAGCCTCCCAAGTAGCTAGGACTACAGGCATGCACCACCATGCCCAGCTAATTTTTAAAAAATTCTTTGTAGCGATAAGCTCCCACTACATGCTCAGGCTGGTCTCGAACTCCTGGCCCCAAGAGATCCTCCTGCCTCAGCCTCCCAAAGTACTGGGATTACAGGCATGAGTCACTGTGTCTAATTAACTAATCCTAATTATCTTAATGCTTAGTAAATGTAGCAATGTTCTTAAAGCTAAGTCATTGTGTTATTTGCTTTCCTAGAAAATAGATATTTTATATGTTTGAGGTTTAAAAAAAATTTTTTTTTGAAGAGATAAGGTCTTACTATGTTGCCTAGACTGGTCTCAAACTCCTGGCTTCAAGCAATCCTCCCACCTTGGCCGCCCAGAGTGTGGAATTACAGCCGTGAGCCACTGCACCCAGCCCCTAGAAAATAGATATTTTAAAGAAAAATATTTCTGAAAAAATGTTGACTTGCAAATCTTAAAATTTCAAGATTTTTAACTGTTAATAGTTCTCCATATTCAAGACATTGTGCTAAACTCATGATAGACTTTAAATGATTTAATCCTCACATGTCCAAAGGGTCTTCTTCCTGAAGAGTCATTAGCCCCATTTTACACAGAAATGAATTGATCTCCACGGAGGTTGAATGACTTACCTGAGGTCATGAAGTCAGTGATGAAGCCAAGTTTTAAGCCCAGGTCTACTAACTTGAAATTCTGTATTCTTGGAAGACACCTCTGCTATCCTGCAGTATGATGATTACAATCATCTAATTCTCTCAAATAATACTGCTAGTGATTTTCTTCATATGTTGTTTGTGTTTTCAGTACAAATGGAATCTTCTGCCTATATTGAGCCCTTTTGCTTTAATAGATAGTTTGTTAGTTAAAAAAAAAAAAAAACAGAACAGCTGGGCGTGGTGGCTCACATCTGTAATCCTAGCACTTTGGGAAGTGGAGGTGAGAGGATTGCCTGAGCCCGGGGGTTCTAGACCAGCCTGGCCAACTTATCAAGACCTGGTCTCTACAATTAAAAAATTAGCTGGGTGTGGTGGCATGTGCCTGTGGTTCAGCTATTTGGAAGGCTGATGGGGAAGGATTGCTTGAGCCCAGCTGGTCAAGCTGTGGTGGCCGTTAGTGTGCCACTATATTCCAGCCT